AACCTTCAAATTGAAACAATATGTAGATATGAATTAAAAAACTTCATGAAATCAAGTTTATCTTTCATTACATAGATTTCATTAATTTAACATTATATATTTCTATTATATACCATAAAATAATACAAAATGCAAACTATATATCGTGATGGAGAAAAAAAATCATCTCCTTCACTGGATCCAAGCACATATCATCATAATTATTCAGCATCATAATTGAGATATTTGAACCACTCCTCACCAGCCTCCTCTAAAGTCTCATTATTCACAGAATCTTCAAATCCTTTTCTCTCCTTCATTGAATCTTTATCAGCAACTTTTTCCATCTCCAAATTCTTTTCATTTTCACATGCAAAATTTGAAACTCCTTTTCTCGCTCTTTTCATCTTCTTCAAAGGGTTCTTCTTCGTCTTGCTATGGGAGCTCATGTGTCCTCCAAAAGCTTGAGCATTTGGAAACTCGTGGCTACAAAAGTTACACTTATAAACCTTTGACACATCACCACCACAACGAACTTGACTTCTTAAAAAATACATCACGGCCTCCCAGTCGTGGTTGGCAAGATCTCCAAAAATACTCAATTTATTCTTTCTCAAAGAACCCTGATTCATGAGGTGATAGATGTCTTGATGTGGGTGAGGGATATTTTGTTGTGTGCTGAAAGTAAGTTTTTCATTCGCGATGATGGTTTCAGGTGTCGGCAAAAATGAAGAAAATGATTGATTTGCCATGTTATCTTCAAATATTGGAAGTGATTGGGTTTGTTGTGGAGGAATGTAGAGATCAAAGTGATTATTCATAGGGTCTTGTATTTGAGTTAAAGGTGTTATGGAATTGAATTGAGGGAGAGAGGAAGATGTCATCTTTTGTATAAGGGATGAGGAGATATGTTATTTGTATGCATATGAGCTTATATAATTGTAAGAATTATCTTATTTGGTAAGAAAATAAGAGAAGATATCTTGAGAGATTATGAGATTTTATCATCATATTGAATGAAATTTTTATTTTAATTTTCTATTTTTTTGGTTTTGGGGGCTGGCACAAAAGATTGGTTTTTTTTTTTTTTGTTAATGTTTAAATATTTTTTTTGTGTCAAATTTAGAAGTGTCGACATTAATGCGGTGGGAAAAATACTAAAAATTTTATTGAAGTTACTAGCATTCTTTTGTTATTTTTTGGAAAATATTAAATGTGATCATAATGAATGTCCTTACTTGGACATAGATTGAATTAAAACTTTTTTTGAGGTACTTACATGTGACTAAATGCATGTGCATGCATTACAATGCATGATATTATCCTTTATTTTATGTGATAAAGATAATTTAGAATAGTCTTAAGGTAGGGTTGCAATCGTGTTAAGTATATTAGCCTTGGTTTGGACTTCGTTTGGTCGAATTATAAGTTGTTCATCTTCAGTTCAATCTTGAGATAAGCTTCAAGAATGTTTTTATACTTGTTGAAAATTTTTAATGTTCATACTTAATTTTTACTAGGCTTATTCATATTAATTAAAAAGCTAAAAATTCCAATGAATATTTAATTTTTCATATAAAATTAATTAAACATTCGATTTGGACATAATTTTTCATATGAAACTAGTAAACAATCTTAAAGTTTAAATGAATATTTGATTTTTTATTTAAAATTTTCATAAATGATCTCATGAATCTAAATAATGTATACATTTGAATAGATTTCAAATGAGCATATAAATAGTTAATACCAAGTAAATAAAATAATATTTAAATTATAAGTATTTTTTTTTTTTGCAATCAAATAACATGTATTAATAAACTTCTTCACTGAAATAAAAAATAAAATAAAATCTTTGAATTGATGTGTATATTGATATTAAATTATATTAGGTTACTATAAAATATATAATTAATCAAATTTGATTTAAATAATGTATTATATACATATAAAGCATTTAACAAGTTACTTGTTGAACAACAAATGAGTCTGTTCATAAACATTAACAAATGAGTTCAACCATGTTCAAATTTAGCTCAATTAAGCTTTGAGTTTTTAAAAAGTGTTCAAACATGTTTATTTAATTGATCGAGTATTAATCGAGTTGAGTTTGAGTTGTTCATCAAGTGCATTGGTTCGTTTACAACCCTATTCTAATGTAATTGTTTTTTTTTAATAATATTTACATATTTATCTCATATTCTAAAGCTAAGTTGGAAGGCATGATTGAAAGATTGTTTCTTTCATTATTTGAAGAATGTATGTTTAGTGTTGAAACAAACGGCTTTCTTAATTTTTACTCCTTAGATCTTGAAGAGTTCCCCCTTTTCTTCCACGTGGAAAACAAGTGAATTTGTTTTACTTAATAAACAACAACACAATATGATTATGATTATTTGATACATGCTAGAAAATTAAAGGCAGCATAGTAATATATTATCGGCTTAACATGGTACAAAGATTTAACACACATTCAGGTGAGATAAAACAACCTATAGAGACACTCGATGTTTGTACATGAAAAACTTGTAAAGGGAAAAATCATGGAGTCGTGCACAGTTGAATAGTTTCACTATAAATGATAATTATAGTTGCAACCCCTTCTTCTTCAGGCGGGAAATAATTAGAAGATCTTCTAAGTTATAATGTTGACGTGCAGATAAATTTGTTTCCAGGAACGATCGGTAACCGATGGCTATCGGTGGCGGTCAGCGGGAGGTGGTCGACGACGATTGACAACAGTGGGGGTGGTGCTGGGCTTCAGCTCTTTGTCAAAGCTTCAAGCTCTTCTTCATGCTTCAGGCTCTCCTCTCCTTCTCAAGAGGGGTGTGGCTTTATTTATAGAGTTTCAGATGTATTAATGCATAAATATGAATCACTTAGATTAGACGATCCTAATAGTTTCCTTTGATCAAACGATGTTTTATGGACATTTGAATGCCTTAATAATATCAGAATTGAACGTTCTTGGGCTCATTGGATTCATCTTATTGAGACACTCGATTCGACTATAAACTATTCAAATTTGACATCTACTTCACCTTTCACATATGTCCAGAAAGCTTATAAAAGTGGTTCAATAGCTTGATTGAGGCTTAATTTGGTTCATATTGAACCCATTTTGGTATCATTGGGTCTGTCTCATCGAGCCGGTTAATTTGAGTGTAAGTTAGCGGAAATTACTGTCTGTTTAACTTTTAATTGAAGTTTAAATGTTCATTGCTCATCAGGTTATTTTGAGATTCGTGCCAAATGATGAGAATTTGTTCACGGCATTTGCTCCCCTATTTTGAGCGGTTGAGCAGAACCAACCTTATTGCCCGAAATATTAAAATCTAGAGCCTTTAATTTCTATTATATATATTGTCTTTTAAAACATTATAAGAGAAATTTACTTATTGAATTTCATAAAAGATGCTTAGCTTAGTTCGTTGGCTGATTATGCGTTGGATAGAAAGTTGGGGGTTCGATACCACTCTGAATAATAATAGATTTTTTTGGCCCGCCTGGAATTGGGAACGCATCTCACGACTCGAATTGGCCCGCCTGGAATTGGGAACACATCTCACGACTCGAATTGGGAATGTGGGGGCTGAAATTTGGCTTGTTGGAATTGGAGAGGTGGATTGATGCTGAAATTTGGAGCCAAAATGTGGGTTGTACAAAAACCAGTAGGAATTTGGAGTCAAACTGCGGGATTTGGGAAGAAAATAGTAAAATTTGAGAAGATTTTGACAGCCCAAATGAAGAAATTTGAACATTTTTTTGTAAAGCACATGCTTGCTTTTTTTTATTTGAAATAGTAGAATTTGAGAAGATTTTGGCAGCCCAAATGAAGAAATTTGAATAATTTTTTGTAAAGCACATGCTTGCTTTTTTTTATTTGTAATGAAGGAATATCAAATGTTAAAAAGGTGAAAATATGAAAAAATTAAAGTTTTCTCTCTTTTTTTTTAAAAAAAAAATCCATTTATTTTTAATGTTGGGCTTCATTCTAAGACTATTGATAGTGGCCATGGATGAATGAAAAATTCATAAGTGAGAGGAGGAGGAGGAAAAAAGAGGGAGAGTGACTAGTGGAGTTTTAAGAGAGGAAGAGAGGGGTAGAGAGAGGAGAAGAGAAAAAGGGTTGTCCCAAAAGTTATCCCGACCGTACCTCGTAGGACCTCTGAGATTTTCTTTCGCGGTCTTTTCTCACGGAAAGACAAAAGAAGACTGTCCCAAAAGTTATCCCTGACCCTGTCACGCAGGACCTCTGGGATTTTCTTTCGTAGTTTTCTCTCATGGAGAAGCAGAAGAAAATTGTCCCGAAAGTTATCCCCGGACCTGCAATGCAGGACCTCCATTATTTTCTTTCACGACCCTCCCTCATGGAGAATCGGAAGAAAATTGTCCTGAAAGTTATCTTCGACCCTCCCAAGCAGGATCTCCAAGATTTTCTTTTGT